TTTTATAATCTTTTTCTTTTAATTATTTAATTAGAAAATAATTTGAATCGGTAATCACGTATCAATTCATATGTTACATTTAACAACATAATTAGTACATACTTTATAACTTCGATACAAATTATTTAGTTCGATATACTAAATAACTTTCTAAACTAAACGACTTCATATTTAATAATTTCACTAAACGCCCCTTAAAATATTCATAGACTTCTAATATGTGTAGATACTAAGTGGCATCGAACAATAATTTAGGGATCATTTGATTGGAGTAATATTTTTAAAGTTGTAAGTTGCAATTTAACTCGTGTTCATTATAGGACTCATGAGAATGAGAGTTACGGTCTTTCAATTGATCATTAAGATGTATTTTGAAGACTAATAGCTAAGATTTTGGTGATTAAAACCCGCCTGCCCATCACTTGAGGGCCAACCCGAATGTCCAGCCGCGACCTTCCACACGTGGCACGCATGCCAACCGTCCCTCAACTGCTTGTTTTGAGTTCGGTTTAACATTTTTAGACCATTTCCTACCTTTTATACTCTCCAGAAGGATAGACTCTTTAAAGCTATGAGACCTGACCATTTCCTACCTTTTATACTCTCCAGAAGGATAGACTCTTTAAAGCTATGAGACCTACGTGCCAGCCAACTGCGCCACCATCCCTTACTATGGTGATATGTATGTATTATCGATCAAGAGATTAAATGTTCGAATCAACGTGTGAATCCAAAAAGTATCTTACACAAATAGGAAAAAAAAAAAAAAGATAAAATGGGGTAAGATAAGCTTGAACTCTCAACCTCATCTTTAAAGCTATGAGACCTACACATTAGCAATGTACCACCACTTACTTGGTGGTTATTAATCAAGAGATTAAATGTTCCTGACACAAATAGAAAAAAAAAATCAAATGGGGTGAGAGAGATTCGAACTCTTGACCTTAGGATGACTTTTACTAGCCAATTACACCACCACCCCTTACTATGGTGATTTGTATGTATTATCGATCAAAAGATTAAATGTTCAAATAAAAAAATGATTAAATGGGGTGAGAGAGAGACTCAAACTCTCGACCTTAGGATGACTCTTTAAAGTTATGAGACCCACTAGCCAACTGCACCACACCTTACTATGATAATTATTATGTATCATCAATCAAGAGATTAAATATTCGAATGGGGTGAGACAGGCTCAAACTCCCAACCTTAGGATGACTTATGAGATCCGCACCACCACCCCTTACTGTGATAATTTGTATGTATCATCCATCAAGATGAAATATTCAGATCAAGTGTGAATCGGAAAAGTATATTAAAAATGACAAAAAAGATTTTTTTAAAAAAATTTAAAATAGGGGTGAGAGAGGTTGACTCCTTAAAGTCATGAAACCTACGCACTAGCCAACACCACCACTATCCCTTGCTATGATAATTTATTTGTATCTTCGATCGTTAGATTAAATGTTTGAATCAACCTATAAAGCAAAAAAGTATATTAAATATGACAAAAGTTTCAATGAAAAGCTATATAAAGTCAAACATGGTGTCTTTGCACCACAGATTTGAAAAATGGAGCAAAAATAATATTTGTGCTTTATTTTTGCCTATAACTAAATTTCTGTACAATTCAATATATTTCGTGTTGTATGTTTAAAATCATTTAAACTTTAACTTAATTAATCTTACTCCAATTACTTGTGGAGTGATTCTAATCACAAATAGATTTTCTGGTGAGATATTTAGTTAGTTCAGATGTTATATTCTCTTGGGTTTATTTTTTTATAGTTTTAAGGTCTTGTCGACATAAATATAATAAAAATAAAATCATGATATAAGTATAATATAATAAAATATGAGCCAATCATCAAATTTTTAGTAAGTTTGAAAACAAAATATTGTAATATATATATATATATATATATATATATTTTAATTTAGTATTTTAAAAAAGGCAATTTAAAATAGAAAATTTAAGAGGTCGTCGTCTTAATTCTTCCCCGTTTTGTTAGGTTGAGGCCCAGCCCAGCCGCTGCGCCAATGAAATCAAGAAAAACCCTAAAACTGTCGAAGACGAGAAACCCTAATTCACCCGTCGTGCCCTATAAACTCACCTTTCGATCTTGTTTCCCCACATCGTCTTGGTCTTCATCTCCACAGCTTTTATGATTTTGGTGTAACTTTTACTTTTCGGCGTGTTGTAGAGTTTTCAAATCTTCATCTTTCTTGTTTCAACTTCGATTCTTGTCTTCTGTTTCATCTTTTTGATGTTCGATGTGATGCTATGACGAGGCTAATTCTATGGACTAGAGTTTCTGATCTGGGTACAATTCCCGGTATCTGATTGATATACCCTTGGCTGTCTGAGCACTCTTGAATTTTGTTGATTTGCGGTGTCAGTTACTTGACTTGTTTTGATGGTTTGTTGGATTGCTTGTTCGATTTTGTGTCCTTACGATGATATTTCAAATAATTTGAGCGGATTTCAATGAGATTTTACTACCCATCTTCTGATTGCTACACACAGTGAAGCCAATTTTACTTTTCCTTTTTTCTTGAAGCTGATTTGTATCTGAATTTTATGACATTCACCATTTGAAATTGTGTTGACAATGATGATATCTGTAAGGCTTGTTTCTCAAAACATTCGCAGTGGCCGCCTAAGAGCTTTCGCCTTCGCCGGGCTTGAGAGCTAGTGCTGCTTTATCCTTCCTTGGATGTCTGAGTCTCCTCTTTAAATGCTTCCCACTTCGATTAATTACAACTGGGTTTTTTTCATGAGCTCCTTAGGGTTTGATTTCCCATTCTGTTTAGTTGTTGATATCATTTGCTTATCTTGTTCAACTTGTATGTTAATGATGACAACTCCAAAGGCTTGTTTCTCAAAACATTCGCAGTGGCCGCCTAAGAGCTTTCGCCTTCGCCAGGCTTGAGAGCTAATGCTGCTTTATTCCTTCCTTGGATGTCTGAAGCCCTTTTTTGATTAAGCTTCTTTCCTCTTTCCCTGTTTTCATTCTTTGGTATTCTTTGGTTTGGAGTATATATTGAAGGGCCGTTTTCTTCAATTGAATTCCTTATTTCCCCCTAGTTTTATGTTTCTGGGTGCTTGGGTTGTTGTAAAGAATTCTATTGTATAGAAGTCTGTATGTTTTAAAATTATGTTTTTGAACTTTCACTCGTTATCATCAGTTTTCATAAGTTGAATACTTGAATGCATTACTCTGTGAGTTTCCCAACTTTTTGTGCAGGTCTTGCTGAAATAAACACTAACAAAATGGAGCTATTTAGAGAGAAATAGAGGTGAAAATAACCAAATTGAAAGTAACAAACACTTCAATTATAACTTGAGTCTGTTAAGAAATGTGCTGGATTAAGAGTGGACATTGGCACCGCGTGCATCGATGGTTTTTTGACTGGCCACCATCTGCTCATTTGACAGCTTGATGATTATGCTGCGCCCAAATATGATCCCCCGCGGCCGTTTTTGAATAGCAGCGTGTTGGTGGGTTCCGGGGTTTACGAAGTTGTTGTGGATGGATCAATCAGTATAGGACCATTTTTTGCCACCCGTGGTTATGCAGCCAAAACCGATCGCACAAGAGGCAAGTTTCTCAGATTGTTGCCCCATTGTGGGTCAGATCGCCAGTAGCGGTCGCTCGGGTTTGTCGCCAATCAAGTCTTCTTGTGTTTAGCCATGGCTCTCCTAGTGCTATTGCTTCCCTCTAAAGCTGAATTGTAATGGTCATGACATTCATGGTGTAAGAGTGGAAGGCCTCATGCGCTCCTTGTTTGGCTTCAACCTTTTGGAGGAAAAAGGTTATTGGTTATGATGCTATATTAGAAACCACTTAATAAGTGGTACTTAGAAAGAATGTATTTTTATGTAGTTTAGTTTACGGGTAGATTTTAGATTTTGGTTGAAATTAGTGTAGCCCGGTCATGGCCATTGTTCATTTATTTTCAATAATAAGTATTTTTCAGCGAAATATGTTTAATTAAGAAGTTCTTATGAAGTGTATGGACTATCAAGAAGGAAAGTGCACCTTGATATTATAGATAGTGACTTTTAGTTCTTTTAAGCATTTTTTAGCTACCCTATCTTTAAGATCGCTCTTGCTCTTGTTTGGATGTGGTCTCGACTCAGATGTCATAATTCACTAACAATTGATTGCTTTAACACACACAATTTAGTGTTTAGACTATAGTTAGTGACTTTTAGTTCTTTTAAGCATTTTTTAGATATCCCATTCTCAAAATCGCTCTTATTTGAATGTGGTCTCATTCAATGTCAACCTACTAACAATTGATTGGTAATCGTATACATTGATGGTTAAGGAAAGAATTTACCCTACTTGTGTTTAGACCAGCTAAAGAAGCAATTTACGTGTTCCATTTGAGAACTTGTGATTAATTTTGGGTACTTAATATTCTAGAAACTCTCTTGTTTTGGAAGTGCTTTCTTGTTATGGTTGAAAAAATAACCTAAGTTTATTAAGTCGAAGGGATAAATTAATTGAGAATGTAACCGACACTTTATTATTAAGGAATAATTCCACATTTTGGATATGTTATTTTTCCCATTTTCCATTAAAATAATGTGAATTCAATCAAATTCTATATTCCAGAGAGTTTAGTAATCAAGTATTGTTATTAACGAGGAGAAATTTCCCACATATTCCATGGTGCCATGAGATGAAGTTACTCTTAAGAACCCGAGTGAAGAAGTTACCCTTAAGAACACGAGCGATGAAGCTGACAAATGAACGTTGAATGTGATAGTTTAATCTTCAAACGATGTTGAATTGACAATAAAATATGTTGAATTGACAATAAAATACGTAAAATACGTGATAGTTGTCAATCTTCAAACCAGTAAAAACCAGTATAAGATGAATTGAATTTTTTTTTTTTTTAACAGTCAGAATATTTTTAGAAGTGTTAAAAGGGTATTTTTGAAAATTCATAGGCTGATTTGCCTTTATAAGTTTGATTCAACAATCAATCTCAAATTCACAAAAAAAAAAAAGAAAAAAAAGAAAAAAAAAGAAATGGAGATTTGGTTCATCATCCTCGTCTCCCTCTGCATCAGCTATGTTCTAAGCTCCATTTTAAGCCATTTCCGAAGCTCCACCAAGCTCCCACCAGGCCCTCCTTCAATCCCCATCATCTCCACTTTCCTATGGCTCCGCACATCGCCTCTCCAATTGGAGTCTTACCTCCGCACCGCCGTCGCCAAATACGGCCCCATCGTCACCCTCCGCATTGGCTCTCGCATCTCCATCTTCATAGCTGACCGCACCATTGCCCACAACGCCCTCCTCCAACATGGCGCTCTCTTCGCCGACCGCCCACCACCTCCTCCTTTGACCAAAATCCTCTTCAGCAACCAGCACAGCATCCACTCCGCCCCTTACGGTCCACTCTGGCGCCTCCTCCGCCGCAATCTCACTTCCCAAATCCTCCATCCTTCCCGTGTCAGGTCCTACGCTCCTGCTCGCAAGTGGGTTTTGGATATTCTTCTTAAACGCCTTCTCTCCCACTCTGAATCGGGAACTCCCGTCTGTGTTGCTGATCATTTTCAGTACGCCATGTTCTGTTTGCTGGTGCTAATGTGCTTTGGGGATAAACTCGACGAACCCAAAATCAAAGAAGTCGAGAATGTGCAGCGTACGATGCTGCTAAATCTTAGTCGATTTGGTCTCCTTAACTTATCGCCTAAATTGACAAAGATTTTCCTTCCAAAACGCTGGGAGGAGTTTCTCCAACTAAGAAAGAACCAAGAGAGGGTCATAATCCCTCTAATCGAAGCAAGAAGGAAGGCCAACCAAAACAGAGGAAACAGAGAAAACAGAGAAGGTAAAGAAGAAGAAGAAGAAGATGAAGATTTCGTGTTGTCGTATGTGGATACACTCCTCGAATTACGCCACCCCGAAGAGGAAAATAGGAAGATAACAGACGGCGAAATGGTCAGTCTATGCTCGGAATTCCTCGCCGGCGGCATCGATACCACTGCCACGACCATGCCGTGGATAATGGCGAATTTGGTGAAATACCCAGAAATCCAACACAAGCTTTTTGCAGAGATGAAAGGAGTAATGGGGGATAGAACATCAGAGGAGGTGAAGGAGGAGGATTTGGGGAAACTTCCATATCTGAAAGCAGTGGTTTTAGAAGGATTAAGAAGACACCCACCAGGGCTTTTCCTAGAAGCACGAGGGGTGAAAGAGGATATAGAATTCGAAAACTACCTGATACCCAAGACCGCGACTGTAAATTTCATGGCGACGGAGATGGGTCGGGGTGCAGATGTATGGGAAGATCCGATGGCGTTTAAGCCGGAGAGGTTCATGGGAGGAGGAGCGGCGGCGTTTGATGTAACGGGGAGCAGAGAGATAAAGATGATGCCGTTCGGAGCAGGGAGGAGGATGTGTCCGGGATATGGTTTGGGGATTCTTCATTTGGAATATTACTTAGCGAATATGATATGGAGGTTTGAATGGAAGGCTGTGGATGGTGACGACGTTGATCTGTCGGAGAAGGTAGAGTTCACCGTTGTGATGAAAAACCCTCTGAAAGCCATCATAAGTCCCAGGTTTTGAATTTGTGAGCTGAATTAGTGTGAGTTCATAGTGAGAAATGTTCTAACCGGTTATGTTGAAAAAATTAGAGTAACTATTTTATTTAAAGAATAATAAACCGAGAAAAATTATTAGTCAAGGAGACCGGTCCGGACACATTTTCTGGTGGAATCCCATTTAAAAAACATAAGTAGAGAATTTCGAGAGAATGTAGAACAAAATAGATGGTAGAGATGGGAACGGGAAACCGATCCCCGTACATACTGTGCAAGGAATCCCAATTTCGAAAATATGTGAAGAATTACGAGAGAATGTGGAACAAAATAAGTGGCAGAGATGGGAACGAGGAAGGCTTTCAAGCATGTTAATTTCATACGTATCTAATGAATTTTGAACCAAACTGTTCTAAACGATTCAAAAGGATGCTATAAACATGTCTTCTACCATAGATTTGAATCTTTCCCTCTCAACAAGTAAACCAATATTTGTTGGAAAAAAAAAAAACAATTTTGAAAAACAATTATGATGAAATAACAATTTTCAAATAATAAATGAAAACGTGGGCTCTATGCTACTTACCCGGACATATATAGTTCGATCTTCGGTCATGTGGTTGCTCGCACTATGTCTCCACTTGGTGTTCTCCATCTATGAAGCGGTTTGCCACAACCTTCTCTTTATTGAGCATTTCGCTTTTGGTAAAACAATTAGTATTTGGGTACAACAGGTTGCGATTGATCTTGCTTCCGCTTTTAATACAACAATTGTTATCAGAACATTGTTGTTGTGGCATCGAAATCCCTGCCGCAATAGAAGGAGTGGAGATTACCGAAGCACAACAAAAAACAATTGCAGACCAAAAGTTGAAAGACGTGAATGTCAAGAATTATTTGTTCCAGACCATTGATCGAACTATTATGGAAATAATTTTCAATAGAGATACTGCAAACAAATTTGGGACTTTATGAAGCAGAAGTATCATGGTTCTATAAGAGTCAAGACAAGAGAGCACAACTCTAAGCTCTTAGGAGAGAGTTTGAAGTCCTACGGATGAAAGAGAACAACAGTGTTGATGCATATTTTGCTCGAACTCTCACCATTGCAAATAAGATGAAAATTCATGGCAAAAACACGAAACAAGTGTGGATTATTGAAAAAATCTTGAGATCATTAAGCTTGAGTAGAGGATTACAAAAATTTTGTTGAGGAGTTTTTATTTATTGTCTACGCACATATAAGGGTGGAGAGTTCACCTCTGACGGATTCAATATTTTTTACAAAATTAATGATATCAGTAGACAACTTACTACCACCTACATTTCTCAATAAAATGGTGGAGCTGAGCATAAGAACAGAACAATCAGGAACATGGTTAAATGTATATTATTAGAGAAGCAAGTTCGAAAGAATTTGGGGGCCAAAAGCAATAAACTGGACAATGCACATGTTCAACAGAAATTCTACAGTGGTAGTGAAAGATATGACTCCTGAGGAGGTTTGGAGTGGCGTAAAACCTAATGTTGATTATTTTTTAGTTTTTGGATGTATTAACCATTTCCTGTATCAGACGGTAATAGAAAGAAGTTAGATGATAAAAGCTTTCAGTGTGTGCAGGATGAGTGAAGAGTCTAAGACTCTATGATTCAATGTCCAAGAAAATAGTTGTAAGAAACGATTTGATTTTTGAATAAAATTAGTGTTGGAATTGGATGAAAAAGAAGCTAGACTTGATACCCTCGAATGGGAAGATAGATCCGACTAATTTTTGAAGAAGCTCTTCAAAGTTCAAAATGAAGAGTTGCAATGAATTTGTTGATAGAAGCCATCAAACGAAATGAGACTTGGAAGTTGACAGATTTGCCTAAAGGAATGAAGAAGATTGGAGTAAACTGGATTTTCAAGATTGGAGTAAAATGGTGAAGTTGATCGATCACACTCATCTCCAACAGCAAAAAGAGGTATTTTATCAGTTTCATAGATGATTTCAGTAAAAAAACTTCATTTTTTTTTTGGCTGAAAAATCAGAACCATTCTCCGTTTTAAAAGATTCAAGAGTATGGTTGAAACAGAAAAGGGTATATACTTAAAGGGCTTGAGAACTAATCGGGGTGGTGAATTCACTGGTAGCGACTTATACTCCGAAACAAAACTGTGTGACAGAAAGAAAAAATAAGAAAATTATGAATATGGTTAGATGCATGTTGACGGAAAAAAAAGGTACTAAAAGCTTTTAGGGCGATAGCAGCAAACTGGACGGTTCATATTCTCAATAGAAGCCCCACTACAGCCGTGAAGTATATGATTCCAGAAGAAGCTGAGAGTGGACATAAACCATCCGTTTCACATTTTAGAATTTTTGAATGTATTGTGCATGTTCATGTCCGAGACAACAATAAAACAAAGCTTGAGGATAAAAGTTTGTAGTGTGTATTATTTGGAGTTAGCGAGGAGTTAAAGACATACAGACTTTATGATCCAGTCTCACAGAAACTAATTGTTAGTAGTGATGTGAAATTTGAGGAAGAAAATTACTGGGATTGGTATAAAATCCATCCAGAAGAAGTTATAGTGATCTAGAATTGAGTAATGATACCTGCAATGAAGTTGAAAGCTCGAAGGATGAAGTATACAATGATGATTCATGTGAGTCAACACAAGAACACTCATTTGCTGATGCTGAAAGAAGAATTAGGAGGCCACCAAGACGGATGGATGATTATGAGAGTGTTGAAGGTTTTTCTAAGGACGAAAATATTACATATCTAGCCTTGTTTACAGGAGGTGATCCTATTTATTACACAGAAGCCGCCAAAAGCTCTAAATGAAGTAAAGCTATGAATGCATAAATAGAAGCCATTGAATGAAACGATACTTGGAAATCACAGACATCATGGCCAAACCTATTTTTCTGAAGATGCGTGATATGTTGAGGGTTTGTTCAGAGTCAAGTATAAACTATAAACTAATGCCGCTAGCATTTAGTTTAAGGGAGAATGTTAAAAGGTATAAACTAGTTTGTGATCCCTTGTAACGACTCATGACCCATGTTGAGTGTAACGACCTAGATCCACCGCTAGCAGATATTGTCCTCTTTGAGCTTTCCCTTTCGGGCTTCCCCTCAAGACTTTAAAACGCGTCTGCTAGGGGAAGGTTTCCACACGCTTATAAAGGGTCTTTTGTTCTCCTCCCCAGCCAATGTGTCACATTGAGATTTTGGATAAGGATTCGAAATACAGATTCAGCTTTGCAGCATGATCTAAGATTACATTAATTATTCCTCATTTCTAGTGAAGACTATCTCCGCAAGCCAACACAAGTCCTTCCAGCATGCTTTATACTCGCTAACATGCATTTTTCCAGTAAAATACGCTTAACTGTGAAGTTCTTATGATTGAACATCGAGAAAGAAGATGCACCTTTGTATGATAGGTAATGACTTCCAATTCTTGTAAGCATTTCTTAATCATCCTATCTTCAAGATCGCTCTCATTTAAATGTGGTCTTGATTTTCTTACCTATCCTGTACCTGATTGATAGCGTCAAGAAATGAAGAACGGATTAAAGAGGTACAAAAACAAATATTATTGCTAATGGTATACATAGATGGTTAAAAAGCAATTTACGTGTTCCATTCGAGAACTTATTAATTTTGGATACTCATATAGATTTTTGAAACTCTCTTGTTTTGGAAGTGTTGAATATGACTAACATGTTATTAAGTAATACTTCAAGATTTTGACCTTATGTCTATAGTCATGAAATGAAGCTACCCTTAAGAATACGAGCGATGAAGCTGACAAACAGACGTTGAATTGACAACAAAATGCGTGATAGTTGTCAATCTTCAAACAACGATTACTATTAAGAACAAACTTCAAACTCCAAATTGATGGTGGAGAAGGATTCTACTTAAGGAACTAAACGTAATTTTTCTTCAATCGAACTATCAGTATCGGTTGAGCTTATTTAGATTATATCGATTAAAGGTTGCTTATTATTACAATTACTTAGCTTTGTAGATAAGAGCTATGTTCTCTCATTTATTGAATAGGAGGAATTAAAAGTTTTGTTTTCTTCTCCAAAACATTGAGTTTTCTTTATTTTCTACTAATCTCATCGGGTCGTGTTCTAAAAACACACCACTTAGCTTTTCCTCAACAAAATCAAATAAAAATGTCAGAAATCCAACCTTATAGATTACATCCATTTTTACTCATACATGATATTAAAACTTAACTCGTACACCGCATCTTTTCAAAGCTTTGTCTATGGAACTCACCAAACAATATGGAAATTTTTCTTTAGACAAATGATCAATTAGGTGGGGTATGTTTCAACGAGCTTCGGTCTTAGGGTTTAGGGTCATATATATATATATATATATGTATGAGTTTTTTGATTGGATTCAACAAAAATAACAAGCAGAGAAAATGGCGATGTGGTTCATCATTGTCATCTCCCTCTGCATCAGCTATGTTCTAAGCTCCATTTTAAGCCATTTTCGAAGCTCCACAAAGCTTCCACCAGGCCCTCCTTCAATCCCCATCATCTCCACTTTCCTATGGCTCCGCACATCCAATCTCCAATTGGAGTCTTACCTTCGCACCGCCGTCGCCAAATATGGCCCCATCGTCACCCTCCGCAGAGGCTCTCGCCTCTCCATCTTCATCGCCGACCACTCAATTGCCCACAAGATCCTCGTCCAAAACGGTGCTCTGTTTTCCGGCCGTCCACCGGCGCAACCTGTTAGCAAGCTCTTAACAAGTAACCAACACAGCATCAGCTCTGCCTCTTACGGCCCACTCTGGCGTCTTCTCCGCCGCAATCTCACTTCCCAAATCCTTCATGCTTCTCGGGTTAAGTCCTATAATCGAGCTCGCAAGTGGGCTTTGGATAATCTTCTTAATCGGCTTGTTTCTCATTCGAAATCTGAAACTCCCGTTACCGTCATCGATCATTTTCATTACGCCATGTTTTGTTTGTTGGTGTTGATGTGCTTTGGGGATAGGCTTGACGAACCCCATATTAGGGAAATCATGGACGTGGAGCGAGCGGTTGTATTGAGTTATGAGCGTTTCAATGTTCTCAATTTCTGGCCTAAATTCACCAAGATTTTGCTCCGAAAACGCTGGCAGACGCTTCTCCAACTAAGAAAGAACCAAGAGGACGTCATAATTCCATTGATTGAAGCTCGCCGGAAGGCCAATCAAAACAGAGGAAACAGAGGAAACAGAGAAAACAGAGTAAACAGAGCAAACAGAGCCGACACTGAAGAAGAAAAAGAAGAATTCGTGGTGTCATATGTGGATACCCTTCTCGATTTGGAGATTCCCGACGAGGACAATAGAAAGCTTACCAATGAGGAGATTGTGACCATATGCTCGGAATTCCTCAACGCCGGCACCGACACCACGTCGACGGCCCTGCAATGGATAATGGCGAATTTAGTGAAATACCCAGAAATCCAACACAAGCTTTTTGCAGAGATAAAAGGAGTAATGGGGGATAGAACAGGGGAGGAGGTGAAGGAAGAGGATTTGCGGAAGGTTCCATATCTGAAAGCGGTGGTTTTGGAAGGATTAAGAAGACACCCACCAGGGCATTTCGTGTTACCACACGCAGTGAAAGAAGAAACAGAGTTGGAAAATTACGTGATACCAAAGTATGGGACGGTAGATTTCATGGTGGCGGAGATGGGTTGGGATCCAAAAGTGTGGGAAGATCCGGCGGCGTTTATGCCGGAGCGGTTCTTGAAAGGAGGGAAAGAAGAAGAAGAAGAAGTGGCGGAGTTTGATATAACAGGGAGCAAGGAGATAAAGATGATGCCGTTCGGAGCAGGGAGGAGGATATGCCCAGGATTTGGTCTGGCGATTCTTCATTTGGAGTATTTCCTTGCCAATTTGGTTTGGCGGTCGGAATGGAAGGCCGTGGAGGGAGACGAAGTTGATCTGTCGGAGAAGTTAGAGCTTACGGTTGTCATGAAAAAGCCTCTGAAGGCAAGAATCTATTCCCGAGGATAATTTGAGTTTACTTATTTTGAAATTTAATAAACTTAGGTCATGTCTAGTGTCCATTAAAGCGATTTATGCAACTTATTTCTAGTTTGAATAATCATTTAATATTTGAATACTATGTTTGCTAGAAAATATATTTAGTTATAAAATATATTTCAGATATTCGTACTTAGTTAAATTTGATTAATAGTATATTTTATTTTATTCCCAAGATTTAGTTAGTTGTTCGTAGGTATTAGTTAATATCTTGTATCCTATTGAAAGGTTGTGAATATCAAGATCGAACCTTCGATCCCAATTTTATTTCTTATTCTTAAATCTGTATTCTTTTAGTTGAGTAATAATATTTTCATATCTATTCACATTTTTTAGGGGTAGATATTGTGTTAGTTGGTGACCAAGAGTTTGATATTATTACTCAAACGAGATGAGGGGTGGAAGTACAGGTATAGTTATGGAAAAGTTTATTAGCAATAACTATAGTAAGTATGGAAGTTATGTATGGAAGCTTATCTTGGCAAGATTTATAGGATTCAATTAGGGTGATGACATAGAAATTCTAGCAGATACTCCACAGAATATAGAATTACGCCCACAATGGAAGAACAAATGTGGAAAAACCTTATTTACCTTGCGAACTTTGATTAGGAAGGAATATATTGATCATGTTCGTGATTTAAAGTCACCCAAGCAAGTATGGGAAACACTTCAAAAGTTGTTCACTAAGAAAAATACTGCTCGATTGCAATTTCTAGAGAATGAACTAGTTGGGATAACTCAAGATAATTTTCTTTTGAAGAATATTTCTTGGAAGTGAAAAATTTGTGTTCTGAAATTTCAGAATTAGATGCTGAGGAGACAGTGAGTGATGCTCGTTTACGACGTTATTTCATTCGTGGATTACGAAAAGATTTTATGCCCTTTATTTCCTCAATACAAGGGTGGGCAAATCAGCCTTCAGTTATTGAATTGGAGAATCTTCTTTCCAATGAGAAAGTCTTGATTAAGCAAATGACTAGTATCAACGAGTTTTCCCCAAAGTTAAAAGACGCGTTGTATGTCAAAGATCAAAGGAGACAGAATTTTCATTCAAAACCTTCATCAAACAATGAGAATCAACTTAGAAGTGAGGAGTTGTCAAAGAAGTCATTTAAAGCTTGTTACAGGTGTGGAAAACCTGGTCATTTTAAACGAGATTGTCAGGTGAAAGTGGTGTGTCATCGTTGCGGAAAACCAGGTCATATCAAGCCAAATTGCCGAGTTAAAATGCAAGAATCAGAAGTAAATGCTGTACATGAAAGTAAAAGTTCTTCAGATCCAATTGGGGAACACTACTTAACCACTGAGGTTCTTGACCAGCCAACAAAATGTGACTTCAGTTGTACACCAAGATGATGTCTCTGCAAATGCTCATGCCTTGATAGACTACAATGAAGAATGTGTTGTCGATTCCAGTTGCTCTCATCATGCAACTGGAAACGAAACTTTTCTATCAGACGTTCGTCCACATTGTCAAAAGAAGGTTATTGTGACAGCTGATAATTCAATGCATCCCTTGACGAAAGAAGGAGATTTGAATGATGGGACTGTTCTACTCAAGGACGTTTATCATGTTCCTGGTTTAAAGAAAAATCTTGCTCCTGTATCACAAATAACAGATTCAGGAAGGTATGTTATTTTTGGTCCTAAAGATGTTCAAATACTCTCTAATGTGAAACATGTTGATGCTTATATCCAGTTTTGTGGACAAAGAAAAGAATCTTTGTATGTTTTATCAGCTAGTGATGAATATATCAAGAAAGTTGGTCATAATGCAAGCTCAACTCTTTGGCATGCTCGTTTCGGTCATGTGGGTTTTCAGTTGTTGCAGAAAATATCTAACTTCTTGATGGTGTCCCTGTCTTTAAAGATATTCAGCATGATGAGGTTTGTCCAGGCTGCCAATACGGCAAGTCTCATCGTCTTCCTTTCACAAGCTCAAAGAGTAGAGCTTCTAACAGTATTGGAATTGATTCATTCTGATCTTTTGGGACCGACACGAACAGTAAGCTATACCGACCTTCATTACGTGATGGTGTTTGTGGATGATTTCTCTTGCTTCAGTTGGGTATACTTCTTAGAACACAAAAGTGAAGCTTTTTCAAAGTTTATTTAGTTTAAGCATGCTATTGAAAAAGAATTTAAATTGAAAATCAAGTGCCTGCGCACGGATGATGGAGGGGAATTTCTTTCAAATGATTTTATGGAATACTGTAAGAAGCATGAGATTCAGCGTCAACTCACTTGTCTAGGAACCCCACAACAAAATGGGGTGGCTGAGCGCAAGTTAGCTCATCTTACATCAGTTTGCTTGTCTTGGCTGCATGCGAGGAGTCTTCCAAAAGAGATATCATACCATTGTGGAGATATGTTATTACTAACAGGAACGTGTCACACCGTACTGTTTGAAAAGTATAATCATTGTAACCTTAACCTTACAGCTTGAATGTGTCACACCACACAGTTTTTAAAGTACAATTGTTGTAACCTTAGAGTTTGAACGTATCACACATCTCACACATCATAGTTTGAAAAGTACCATCGTTGTAATCTTATACCTTGAATGTGTCACATTGCATAGTTTGAAAAGTACAATCGTTGTGATCTTATTTTATCATTATTTTTTAGAGTACAGGTCATGTTAAGCTAAAACATGTAGTTAAACCTGACGATAGCGCTTAAAAAAGTAAATTCTATGATTATGTTGTTTTATTCAATTTAAGAATGGAGTTCAATCTCGGTGCATGATTATACTAGGTATGTTGGCTTTTGATTAAAATAAAGTTCATTTGAAATAAATTTTGCAGAATTGATTACTCTCATTTTTGAATTGATTGTTGGTAGTGGTTTGTTGTTCTTTTTATTTATTGTCGGTTTTGAGCTCGATTTGTCCTCCATTTATAATTGCGAGTGAAGGGCTTTTAGGATCACCTAGTGAAAATCTTTGTCCCCTTCCTCTCCGACATCAATGTCATCTTAATCCTTCAATGACCGTGGAGATGATAAATTTGGCTATGACTAGTTTATTGTGTTCATGAGTGTTTCTCTTCACATCATCGTGTTTCCTTGTTCTCTCGTATATTTTAGTCAAACTCAAACTCCTCACTACAGATGTGGGTGAAACAACCATGGTCCTAACCACCATTAACATTGTCATGGCATGGACTTGTGAGTTTCTAATTAAAAAATTCTTAGTCAAAGTCAACTGAGGGGCAATTTTCCCCTAAAGCCACAGTAGAGTCCATGAATGTCCTAGGAGAACACTTGCAAAAGAGGAAAAAAAAAATGAGAGAGAGAGAGAGAGTTTGAAAATCTCACCGGACCACCGCCATAAATCGTTTACAACTATGATCTAGTTGCAAGAACTCTTTTCTTGGAACGATAGATAGGTCTGAGAGGTCGGAGTCCTATTTCCTGTTAAGAAAATCACGAATCCATGAGGTAAGATCTTGAGGGTTTTTCCTCAGATCCGAGACTTTATCTTGCGAATCGAGATCTAATATTTTGATATGTTTATCTAGGGAGGATGCTCCACAGATTCCATGAAGGAGCTTGGTCGAAATCTTGGACCTAGGGCGAAACTTGGGAGAGTTAGGTGTTGGAGTTAAAATCTAAGAAAAAATATTAGAACCTAGTTGAGATTGGGATTTTCAACTTTGCTGAAGAAATTGTCTTGATTTGAGTTAAAAATAAAAAGATGTAAAAGTGTAAATTAAAACCTAATAGGATTCTGTGTTTACGACCGCAAGGAGGAGAGAAAAAATTTCAGCGAGCCACGTGTCAACCGTTGAGAAGAGATTCGCATTCGGCCAGGCAAGGGACACGCGTTGCTCACTGCGTTGAGCAATATGTCAAATGCTGAACGAAGCAACACGGCTCTAGCTGAAGAGAGACGCGACTTCTGCAGCACTAATTCGACTCACGGGGTTCGACCCGAATCGACCCGTTACTCGAGACCAAACCCGACTCGACTTGTGGTTCAAAGGAAACTAAATCTAATAGACCCGATCGAATCGACTAGAACCGATCCAGCGACTCGTGTCCGCAAAACTCGCCCGCTTATGGTACTCGCGTGTGACAGTTGCGAGTAGGTGCCTCCCTGATACCAGCATGGAAGGGTGTGGCTGGCGCAAGAGGGACCTAATTGAAGAAAATCACTATTTTTGGACACCCTATATGTGTGGAAACTTTAGATAAAAGAGCACGAATCAATCATGTAAGTCACCCCACCGAATTTAGAAAATTCGCTTGGATGCATGCTAATATTTATCTTAGATGGTTAGCATTTCCATAAAAAGAATTTAGGTAATATGATTATCAAAAGTATGATGCATAATATGAAAAATTATGAAGATTGTTGACTGATGCAATTATATTTTATGCTTCTGTTACATATATGTTTAATTCATGCTGAAAGGTGGATGAGAATTGTGATTTGTACTCCGGGTGCTTGATGGATGTTATCGTGTTGAGCATGTGTATTTATTTTGTATGATGATTCTAGATAATTATTGTGTGCACACTCAGATAATTCTAATAAACCAGTATCATGTACGAGGGATTTGTGGTTAGGTTGACTAGTTACCTAATTTAAACCTAACATTTTTCTTAGGAGCCTAATCAATCACCATGACTTACAAACTATCTTAAGAGCGGTTCTTAGACTACAAGATCTATGAACGATGTCAACAGCTTCGTAGGGGAACAAGGGTTTGTAATCAAAATCCGACTGAACCTAGCCATTTTTACATGGGAAACAAGAGATCCATGACGTGCAGACCATTAACTAGATGGGATAAAGGAGGGGTCACGCCCCCCACCGAGGGTGACTTTATGGACCTGGGAGGCGTCAACTCACCCCCTAGATAAGATACCATATAGTCTCTGTTGGGATTTATGCCCTAGAGCCTCGAAATTAATTATTTAGTTTCTAACAATAATTTTTATTATTTTATGTATAATTTAATTGTTATCCATGGTATGAAAATCTAAGGTTATTAATGTAATCTTGAAAAATATGTAGTTGACATACAAATGATCGTGTTCAAGTAATAACCTAAAAAGTCTATAGTATATGGATAAGGTTAGGTGCCTTATCTTGGTAACACTATTGATACGACCCATTTTGTAATCGTTACAAATGATTTAATCCAAATCGTTCATGTGGAGACATGTAAGTGGGGGTATCCTATATAATGAGTTTGTATAAGATTGAACCAAGAAATATTTAATCTCTCTTTATAAATCCGTTTATTGAGATGATTAATATTTCACATGTCTCCACATGCGACTTGATCTTAATCTTGAGTGAGTTATGAACTTTTGCCTGTGAGTGCTTGTCCTTTAGTTTACATGGGTGAGAATGACTCTGTTAACCGATTCAATATGCCTACCATTTTGGGGGCTTGACCAAATAGAGAGTTAAAAACATAATATCATGAGATGAAATTCACTCCTTTCCATATAAGAAAAAATAGATGAGTTGTTCTCAAGTACTGATTTCTAGACTTAAACAATGAGGCCCCACCCTCTCATTGGCTCGAGAGATACTTAATTTATGATTGGATCATAAACAAATTGCTCATTAGAGAATCAGTGGTAGTAAAAGATGTAATTACAGGAGTAAAACAGACTTTTGACCCAACTGTAATTATGAACAACTATCGACTTGCTTGTAATGATTATATCAATGAACATAACTTGTTCTGTGATGCATAAGAGTGCAACTCTATGTCTCTAGTGGAATGACTTATAGTTAATGAATGGAAATTGATTAATTAAAGAGTTTAATTAATTAATTTTGTATCCTTATAATCGGTAGGTACATAAGGTCTCCTAATGCCAAAAAGTTCAATATATTTAAAAGAAAATTTGAAAGGTTCATTGATATTTAATATATTAGATATATTATATATAAGGAGAAAAAAAATTTAAGATTTAATATATTAGATATATTAAAAGAAAAATATATTTATTGTATTTGATACCATTAAATATTAATTATTTTGATAAATTAAATAAAAATATATTTAAAATTTGATTATATATTAGGATATGTTATAATATTTAAATATGATTTGTATAAGATATTATATCATAATATATTAAATACACAAATATATTATTTGGTAAAAATTCTCAAAGAGTCCCTATAAATAGGACCTTCGGGTTGAGCCAAACATATACGAATCTCTCCCACATTCTCTAGAGAATCAAATTACATCTACAGAGAATTCTCGAAACTCTCCTTCTTCAATCTGTTTGAAATTTTCTTTTAAGAGGCTCCCACAAGTCCTGACCTTGTGTTCTAGTCATAGCAAAAAAGATCTCGTGGAATGTTGGAGAGCTTTTTCATGGTTGGAATACCTCAAAGGAGTATTGCAAGCTAGCATTTCTACAAAGTAGAGTTCTTACTCTACTGTTTATTACTTTGTTTTAATTATTAATAAAAGTCAAAACGGTTCCCAATACTTCTCCTAGATGAAGAGTTCATTCTCTTCGAGTCTGATATGAGCCATACATGAAGTAGCCTTTCACGGAGGGTCACTAGTCATTCACAGCTCGTAGAAGAAACTCTTAGGGTTTAAAATGAAAGGACTGAGACTAAAATAGCATCAAGAAGATAAAACTAGAACCAGACGTTTTAAAGCCAAGGAGAAGCCTGTGAAAATTTGTTACCCCTAGAACGCGATGAGAGTTTACAAGTAGGTGGCTTATTGATGGCTTATTGAGTATAACTTTTATATTCATCCCTTTTTTCCTTTTCTTCTCAGGTGTTCACTGACTGTTGGTCGAGGTAGAAGAGTATACAAGAGTTATGCAGTCACAAAGAGAATCGTCCTGAAGGGTCAATTCATTTTTATATTTTGGAGTCTTTTGTATTTGAAACAACAAACTTGTTTTTCTTTTCTTTTTCCTTTATTGAATTTTTATCTTTTATTCTACTTTTCTTACTTTTATTTTGTTTTCGCTTTCATCTTCTTAGTCGCAGTCCGAGTTTTGAAGTCTCGACAATCGGGTCGTGATAGATACACTAGTAACAACATCGAAGACGATGAAGAACACAAGTACAGCTTTGTTTCCATGAGATCTTACGTATGAGAGTTGAGCCCATAGTTTTCATGAAGGTGGTCGTTCAGTTTATAATTATTTAGTTACTTTTTTAGGTCTTTTTTTATATAACAAGTATTTATCATAGATATTTTTTCTCTTTTTTATTTTTTATATTGTATCAAATAAAGAAGAATAGGATCAAGGCAAAGGACTCCATCGGATTGATTCCCAATGTCGATTAGGTTTTGGGAGATACGAATAAAGGGTCAAAAGCTCGAAAGAGCACCTTAGCCCAACCCTATGCGCTCGAGCCCTAAATTTGCTATGTTTTTTTTTATTCCATTCTTGATTCAAGTATTAGAGTGGGAATTTGACAAATACGACATCGGTGTGCAGATTTCGATATTTTGTAGGTCATTTTTTTTAATATACAAATTCTTCATTGAAGAACTTGCACGTTAGTGGTATAAGTTCACTTTCCCCATTTTTGCATCATTGAATAGTTAATCTAATGATGTTTTACATTAATATTCAAGTAATGATATGAATATGAATTTAATAGAACATAGATGATAGTTTTGTAGCTCAAAAACAATTTTAAAACTCTTTTAGAGTATAACAAAACACATTTTCCACCTTAGATTTACCTTAACAAGCTATTAATGTTCTTAATTATATGAAAATAATATGAATCTAACTTTAAGTATTCTCCGAAAGGCCTCAACCAATGGAGTTAGTATTCCTCACTTATAAACTCATGATCATTCCCTAAATCAGCTGATGTGGGACTTTCATAATCCAACCTTTGATTCATGATTCAATTAGTCTTGCAATTCTTCTTTGGTTTAGTTCGTTCTGGAAGATAATTATGTGGATAAATGACGGAGTGTGATGGTGGCTATTTTGAGTTCACTTATTTTGAAATTTAATAAACCTACGTGTGTGGTCATGCTAAGTTCCCATTAAAGCTTGAATATGTCACACCACACAACTTGAAAAGTACACACCACACCGTGTGAAAAATATAACTCAATGACACGTGACCTATAGCCTTATTTTATTATTGTTTTTTATAGTACATGTCATGCTTAGCTATGATTGAGTTACTTTGTCACTTAAAATCAATTATTATCACGTAATACAGGAGAATGATTTCATACTTATAAATGGGAAGAAATATATTTTAAACTCGAGTGTATTAGGTATTTGGAGATAAGAATAAATGGTCAAAAGCCCGAAAGAGCACCTTAGCCCAAGCCTATGCACTCGAACCCTAAATTTGCTCGAGCCCTAAATTTTTCTCTATATTTGATTCAAGTATTGGAGTGTGTGTATCTGTGAAAAGTAAATCAAAAATTAAATATTAAAAAAGAAAAAAGAATTAACTTTTTTTAAAAAAGATAAAATTGTAATTAATACGTAGCACCATACTATTAGGCCAAGTGGCTCGAGTGTAGCCAAATATATTATTGGTGATAAAGAGAAGTTGATTTAAAGTATGGTAGGAGAGGGTAAGATGAAAAAGATTGATCTTTACCTAGCTTGTGCTTCAATCTTCTAAAGATTATGCATACTAGGTAACCGATAGCTTGGTGCTATATCATAAGCACATTCGGGGTGACATGTTCCATACTCGATTCTCCAAAAGATGATACACACTACGTAATCTACCGCTTGGTGTTACTTCATAAGCACATCGAGAATGACTTGAACTACACTCGATTCTTCTAAAGATAATACATAGGTAACCGATTATTTGGTGCTACATCATAAGCACATCGAGAAAGACTTGTAGCATATTCAATTCTTCTAAAGATGATATATACTAGATAACCGACCGCTTGGTGTTACGTGATAGTATTTTATTTTAATTCACCTGGGATGAATGTTGGCTTTGAGAGGCTTATCCATCACCACCGTGAACTCCACCTTCTCCGACAGATCGACGCCGTCGCCCTCCACCGCCTTCCATTCAAACCTCCAAACCAGATTGGCTATGAAATACTCCAAATGAAGAATTGCCAGACCGAATCCTGGGCACATCCTCCTCCCTGCGCCGAACGGCATCATCTTTATCTCCTTGCTCCCTGTTATATCAAACCCCGCCACTTCTTCTTCTTCCCCGCCCTTCATGAACCTCTCCGGCTTGAACGCCATCGGATCTTCCCACACCTCCGGATCCCAACCCATCTCCGCCACCATGAAATTTACACTCCCATTCTTTGGTATCACGTAATTCTCCAACATCGTGTCCTCTTTCACTGCGTGTGGTAACACGAAATGCCCTGGTGGGTGTCTTCTTAATCCTTCTAAAACCACAGCTCTCAGATATGGAAGCTTCCCCAAATCCTCTTCCTTCACCTCCTCCCCTGTTCCATCCCCCATTACTCCTTTCATCTCTGCAAAAAGCTTGTGTTGGATTTCTGGGTATTTCACTATATTCGCCATTATCCACTGCAAGGCCGTCGACGTCGTGTCGGTGCCGGCGTTGAGGAATTCCGAGCATATGGTCACAATCTCCTCATCTGTAAGCTTTCTATTGTCCTCGTCGGGAAGCTCCAAATCGAGGAGTGTGTCCACATATGACACCACGAAAGCTTCTTCGGTTTCGGCTCTGTTTTCTCTGTTTGCTCTGTTTTGGTTGGCCTTCCTTCTTGCTTCAATCAAAGGAATGATGACTTTCTCCTGATTTCTTCTGATTTCCAAGAACGCCTCCCAGCGCTTACGGAGCAAAATCTTCGTCAATTTCGGCCAGAAATTAAGGACGTTGAAACGGCGAAAACTCAACAGCATAGCTCGGTGTACGTTTTCAATTTCATGAATCTGGGGTTCCTCAAGCTTATCCCCAAAGCACATCAACACCAACAAACAGAACATAGCGTAATGAAAATGATCGATGACAGTAACGGGAGTTTCAGATTTCGAATGAGAAACAAGTCGATTAAGAAGAATATCCAAAACCCACTTGCGAGCTCGATTATAGGACTTAACCCGAGAAGGATGAAGGATTTGGAAAGTGAGATTGCGACGGAGGAGGCGCCAGAGTGGGCCGTAAGAGGCGGAGCTGATGTTGTGTTGGTTGCTGGAGATGATCTTGCTCATGGGTGGAGCCGGTGGACGGTCGGCGAAGAGAGCACCGTTTTGGAGGAGGGCTTTGTGAGCAATAGAGCGGTCGGAGATAAAGATGGTGGGGCGGTTGGCGATGCGGAGGGTGACGACGGGGCCATATTTGGCGGCGAAACTGCGGAGGAGAGATTCAATTTGGAGAGGCGATTGGCGGAGCCACAGGAAAGTTGTGATGATGGGTACTGAAGGAGGGCCTGGTGGGAGATTGGTGGAGCTTCGGAAATGGGTAAAAATGGAGGTTAGAAGAGAGCAGACGCAGAGGGAGACGATGGCGACGAACCAAATCTCCATTTTTTTTGTGTGTTGGAGATTGAGCGGCCAATTCAATCAGAAACCCATACGCTATATATGTCAGGGTAAGCAGCTTGGAGCCCACGTTTTATTATCATTATTGTTGTTATTATTTGAAAATTGTTATTTCATCATAATTGTTTTTATTGATCGTTACAATTTTCTCCCTATTAAGGCATGTCATGTCATTGGCATCTTTAGAACAACTTTTTAACTTTTTAACTTTTTGAGTCATTTAAAATAAGGGTGGTTTTGTTGTTGAAAGGACACCTATAGATACATTTTTAAAGATAGAAAAAGTAGTAATTTGTTTAACAAATTTAATTAATATGGAGAAGAAGGAGGTGAAAGCAATTTCATCCACAAAAATCCCAATAAACTCCGGGAAGCAATGAACTTCCGTCCTATAAAATGACCTCCCTTTCCAATCATTCAGATCACTCCTCTCAATTTCACTTCAATTTTTGTTGTCGCCAACAACCGGTATCAGAGCGATCTTGCAGTAGCAAGAATGGCAGCTGAAAAACAAGTTGAGAGCTACGTTCAGCCCGCCATCCCGAGGCTCGATGGTCACTATGATCATTGGGCGATGTTGATGGAAAATTTTCTCAGATCAAAAGAGTTTTTTGATATGGTGGAGACGGGTTATGAAGATCTAAATGAAGGCGAGTTACTCTCAGCTGGTCAACAGCAACTGTTGGCAGCATCAAAGTTGAAGGACCTGAAGGTCAAGAACTATTTATTTTAGTCCAATGATAGGACTATCTTGGAAACAATGAAACAATGCTTCAGAAGAAAACATCCAAGGAAATTTGGGATTCTATGAGGAGGAAGTATCAAGGCTCAACGAGAGTAAAGCGTGCTCAACTTCAAGCAGTTAGAAGAGACTTTGAAATTCTCCAAATGCAAAAGGCAGAAACGGTGAATGATTATATTGGCAAGGTTATTAGTCTTGCAAGTAAAATGAGGATGCATGGTGATTCAATCATGGATGTTGCGGTCGTAGAAAGATTTTGCGATCACTAACTCCAAAGTTCGATTACATTGTATGTTCTATCGAAGAAGCAAACAATGTTGAAGAGATGCAAATAGATGAGCTCCAAAGCTCCCTGTTAGTACATGAACAGAGACTCAATCGTACAAGTGCAATAGAGGAGATGACAGCCTTAAAGATATCCACACCAAGTGAAACTTCAAGCCCTAGAGGTAGAGGGCAAAGAAGAGGCAGAGGTCGTGTGAGAGGCTGTCAAGAAAGAAGTGGAGATGTTGGTAGGTCAGCAGATCTAGTCAGAAACGATTATGACAACAAAGGCAAGAGAAACTTTGACAAGTCTAAGGTGGAATGCTACAGATGTGGACGCCTTGGACATTACAAAAATGAATGCTATACCAGGCTCCAAAAGAAGAAAAGAGATCAATCCAATTTTGTGGAGGGAAGAGAAGAAGAAACATTGTTAATGTCATTCCATGCTATCAAGGTTGCAGATCAAGGTGTATGGGTCATAGACTCTGGATGCAACAACCATATGACAGGTTGTAAGGAATTCCTCTCAACTCTGGATAAAAATTTTCATACTACGGTTTGTCTTGGCAACAATTCAACTATCCAAGTGATGGGGAAAGGAACAGTAGATATCAAGACTAGAAATGGCTTTGTAGAGTCTATTTATAATGTATTCTATATTCCTGATCTAAAGGCCAACTTACTTAGTATCGGTCAGTTATAAGAAAATGGGTACGTGATCACATTCCAAAATGATGAATGTGAGATTTATGACTCCAAAAGAGGATCGATTGCTAAGATGAAGATGATCACCAACTGTCTATATCCGTTGACGTTAAATATCGTTGCCAAAAGTTTGATGGTGAAGAAAGAAGATACCACCTGACTTTGGCATTTTAGGTATGGTCATCTACACTTCAAAGGATTAAAGACATTGTCTTCAAAGAAGATGGTAACTGGGTTGCCAGATATTACTCCTCCAACAGAAATTTGCGAGAGCTGTGTAATAGCAAAACATGAAAGAAATTCTTTTCCATCCAGAAAATCAAGAAGAGCTCAAGCAATTTTGAAGTTGATTCATTCAGACATATGTGGTCCCATCTCTCCAGCATCAAATGGTGACAAGAAATATTTCATGACCCTCATCGAGAATTTTAGTCGAAAAACATGGACTTATTTCTTGCACGCCAAATCAGAAGCCTTTGATTGCTTCAAAAAAATTTGTGCTACTATGAAGACGGAAACTGGAAGAAGAGTCAAGGGTTTAAGAACTGACAGAGGTGGAGAGTTCTGCTCGAACGAGTTTATTAAATTTTGTGAAGAGAAGGGCATAAGGAGGCAGTTAACAACAACATATATACCACAACAAAATGGCGTGGGTGAAAGAAAAAACAGGACCAGGAAAAACAGGACCATTCTCAACATGTTCGAAGTTTACTAAATAAAGGTGAAGTCCCGAAGGAATTCTGGCCAGAAGCTGTCGTGTGGTCTGTTCACATTCTCAACCGGAGCCCTACTTTTTCTGTTAGAGATATGACTACACAAGAAGCATGGAGCGGAAGAAAACCTGCAGTAGACCACTTTAGAATCTATGGGTGCATAGCATATGCACACATTCCTGATCAGAAAAGAAAGAAACTTGAGGACAAGAGTTTGAAGTGTGTGTTCCTTGGAGTAAGCGAGACTTCTAAGGCGTACAAGCTCTATGATCCTTTGACAAAGAAGGTGGTGGTAAGTCGTTATGTAATCTTTGACGAAAAGAAGACTTGGACATGGGAAGAAAAGATCACTGTAAATCAGCAGATTCTTGTAGATCTTGAAGAAGACAAACTAAAGCCCCTATTCAGCCTCACTATAAGCATGGAGAGAGCTCATCACAAGCTCAACAAGAACTAGTAGAAGAAGATCATGTTCATAATCAAAGAAATCCAAGAGCAAGAAAGAGACCAAATTGGATGGTTGATTATGAGATGGACTATGAATCAAGTGATAGTACTTATTTTGCATTCTTTATGGATAGTGATCCAATTGTCTATGAAGAAGCGGTAAAGGAGAAGAAATGGAAGGAAGCTATGGACAGTGAAATCAAATCCATAGAGAAGAACAAGACTTGGGAGCTCACTGATCTTCCTCGAGGGCAGAAAACAATCGGAGTAAAATGGGTTTTCAAAACCAAGTTGAATGAAAACGGTGAGGTGGATAAGTACAAGGCGCGACTCGTTGCAAAAGGATACAAGCAGAAGTATGGAGTTGAGTATAAGGAGGTATTTGCACTAGTGGCACGTCAAGATACTATCATGCTTATAATTTCTATTGCAACACAGAAATCTTGGCCTATTTATCAACTTGATGTGAAATCGGCCTTCCTACATGGAGAGCTTCAAGAAGAGGTATATGTGGAGCAACCAGAAGGTTTTGTTCAAAAAGGTAAAGAGGAAAAAGTATACAAGTTGAAGAAAGCTTTGTACAGTTTGAAGCAAGCTCCGAGGGCATGTACAGTCACATTGATTCTTATTTTGAAAAGATGGAATTCAAAAAGGTAAAGAGGAAAAAGTATACAAGTTGAAGAAAGCTTTGTACAGTTTGAAGCAAGCTCTGAGGGTATGTACAGTCGCATTGATTCTCATTTTGAAAAGATGGGATTCATTAAATGCCCGTATGAACATACGTTGTATGTGAAAACTGAAAAGGGAGGTAACATTCTCATTATTTGTTTATATGTTGATGATTTAATATTTACTGACAATAATGAAAAAATGTTTGAATTTTTTAAGAAGAGCATGATGAAAGAATTTGAAATGACAGATCTTAGTTTGATAAGATATTTTCTTGGATTAGAAGTTGCTCAAACTCCCGCAGGTAACTTTATCTGTCAGAAGAAATATGCTCAAGAATTACTTGAAAGATTTAAATTGGATGAGTGCACATTTGAAACTCCATCAGAATTGGGTTTGAAGTTGCACAAGGATACTGAAGGGCGAGAGGTTGATAATAGGTACTTCAAACAAATTGTGGGAAGTTTGATGTACTTAACTTCAACAAGACCGGACATCATGTATGCGGTTAGTATGATAAGTCGTTACATGGAGCATCCAACGGAAAAACATCTCAATACAGCAAGAAGGATACTTCGTTATGTGAGAGGAACCTTCGACTTGGGGGTATTCTACAAGAAAGAAGATGATCCGAAGATGGTTGGCTATATAGATAGCGATTATGCAGGTGATATAGATGATCGTAAAAGTACTTCAGGAAGTATTTTCATGATGAGTTCAGGAGCTATTTACTGGTCTTCAAAGAAGCAACATATTGTAACACTCTCAACTACAGAAGCAGAATTTGTGGCAGCAACAGCATGCTCGTGCCAAGCAATTTGGTTAAGAAAAATGCTTGAAATTCTTAAACAGAAGCAACTAGGTACGACGGTTATATATTGTGATAATATGTCAACTATTAAGTTGTCTAAAAATCCTGTGTTGCATGGAAGGAGTAAGCACATCGATGTTCGATTTCATTTCTTGCGTGATTTGTGTAAAGAAGGCATTATTAAACTCAACTTTTACCGAAGTGATGAACAAATCGTAGACCTATTCACAAAACCCTTGAAACAACCATTGTTCGAGAAGCTTAGAAGAAAGATGGGGATGTGCAGAATCCAAGATGTATATCAAGAAGATAAAGTGAAGTCCTAAATTGAATTCTCTAGAAATCAGTTTAAGGGAGGGTGTTGAAGGAACACTAAAAGATACATTTAAAGGTAGAAGAAGTAGTAATTTGTTTAACAAATTTAGTTAGTGCAGAAGGGGGAGGTGAAAGCAATTTCATCCACAGAAATCCCAACCAACTCCGGGAAGTAATGGAATCCCATTCTATAAAATGACCTCCCTTTCCGATCATTCAAATCACTCCTCTCAATTTCACTTCAATTTTTGTTGTCACCACATTTGTTCGAAAGCCTTGTCGCAACTTATGAATTAAGATACCGATGAATTAAGATGCTTGAAAGTATGTTGTCTCGAAAGCCTTCTCGCAACCTTTTTTTTTTTTTTTAATAAATCAATATATTTCATGTGCTACTTACGTCATTTTTAAATATTTGAATTTTAATATTACCACATACCCTCTAACGATATAAAAAAAAAAAAAAAAATCTAAAACATAGTTTTTAGTTTAAATATTACGATTAGAGTTTCAAAATTAACTATATATATTAAAATGAGGGTGAGACGAGGAATTGGATGGAAGAAGGGATGGGAGAATATAATCCGTCCCCGACTCCATTTATCTAGCAACAAAACAAAAAAAAGTTTTCGATAAGGTCAAGCCCAGTAATCGTATGAGCCCATCATTTATACATTTTATAAAAATGATTTAGGTATCTCATGAATAAAAATACCTACATATTTACCAAAATGATTTAGATATTTAGTAATAAAGATATCTAACCATTTTAGTAAAATTATTTAGGTATTTTAGGAATAACTGGTTAGATATGTTAGGAATAAATTGTCACCATCTGCTGTAAATACTCTTCTACCCTACCAATGTTTTCATCCCAAAAGAAATACAAAGCATAGAATGCAATAGTTTCTGTAGAGTATCTTGTAATATGTTTCTTGATTGGTGTTAATAAAAAGTGCGAGTGTTTCCACCCAGAATTGTGTTCAACAATCTTTTATTAGAGTTAGGTTAGTGTAGTCGTGTGATCTCCTAGAATTGTTTAGTATGTCCTGCGGTTGCAGCTCAATTTAACCTTTGACATCAGAAACAGTTTTTTGAAATCATTAGTGGGTGAGTTTCTTTGTCTTCGTGAGTAGTCTGTCACTCTACAAATTTTGTGTCGAAAAGGCTTGTTTGGTAATATCGAGGTATTACTAACATGATGATGATTTCTAAATCAGGAATCAAGAAACTCAAAAACAACAACTACATCGCGTGGGCACCATGCATGATCTCCTATTTACATAGATATGACCTTTGGGAGATGGTTGGTGGGAGTGAAACTACGCCCCAGAGGAGGATTCTAACGATGCCATGTGCAAATAGAGAATCAAAGTAGGCAAAGCAATGTTTTCCTTGAAGACCACAATCAAAGAAGAGATATTAGAGCATATTTGGGATGACAAGACACCAAAAGAAGCATGAAACACGTTCGTGATGCTGTTCTCAAAGAAGAACAATACGAGACTACAACTTCTGGAGAATGAGGTGTTATCAATTTTACAACTTGACATGACGATTGCTCAGTACTTCCACAAAGTCAAGTCGATTTGAGAACCTCGAATGAAGAGGATCATCATCCATGAATTGCAACCAAAATATAGAAGTTTCATTATTGTTGTACAAGGATGGGCCGCTCAACCACCCCTTGTAGAGTTCAAAAATTTGTTAGCTAGCCAAGAAGCCATTATTAAACAATGGGAGACATCACATTAAAGGGCGAAGAAGGAGCAGGCTACACAAATGAAAGTTGGAGCAATAATAAGTCATTTAACAAAGTGGATACAAAAATGGTGAGAAAGGAAGAAGCCACCAAGTAACTACACAACTAGGGAGAGCTCAAAAGAACGGAAACAAAAGCTCTCAAATAAAGAGATTTGAAGGTAGTTGCTACAATTATGAGAAGAAGGGTCACATGTCCAGAGATTGTTGGTCAAGAAAAAATATATCAAAAGAAATATGGCATCTTCCAACATGAATGGGATGGGATGTAGAGGTACTATACGCCATGGAAGAAGATGGGTTAACACTTATTGCAATGATTAGAGAGTACATTGATTATGAGAATGACTGGATTGTTGATTCATGATTCTCAAACCACATGACTGGCGATCGGAGAAAATTGCAAGACAAGAAAGAGTAGAGAGGAAGTCGCATGGTATGCACAACAAATAACACACTGTTGTCAATTGCTCAAATCGACAATATGACAATCATGCTTGACAATAAATCTTATACAATGTCACTACATAATGTTTATCATGTATCGAGTATAAAGAAGAAATTGTTGTCAGTGCGACAACTAACATGAGGAAACCACCATCAAACAAGAAGATTTGAAAATCTACAAAGAAGATAATAGGAAAACCAACAATAGAAGGGCGAAGAGTAGAATCCGTTTACGGCTATTTGCAGAGTCGACTCTACTCTAACAATGTTTTCATCCCAAAAGAAATACAAAGCACAGAGTACAGTAGTTTCTACCGACTTTCTTGTAATCTCTTCTCAATTAGTGTTAATAAATAGTGCGAGTGTATCCTACGAAGAGTTGTGTTTAACACCACTCCCTTTCTATTTCCATTCCTACGAGATTGGACATCTCTACGCTCGTGGGTAAGATCAATCTAGACGAATACTTCCATACCATTGTTGCTACAATCAATTTAAGGAAGCAGCATTGAGAATAAGTTCGACCCAAAACATTGATACAAAACGAAACCATGTTGATAAACATAGCAAGCAATAAAGCCATATGCATCATGTCATTGCTTCACATACATATGCCTTACAAGTTAGTAGATAATGAGTTGAATCTCAATATCCAAATTTAAAACCTGGGACTTATGTTGGCTTTCAGAGGGTTTTTCATCACAACGGTGAACTCTACCTTCTCCGACAGATCAACATCGTCCCCATCCACACCCTTCCATTCAAATTTCCATACCAAATTCGCTAAGAAATACTCCAAATGAAGGATCCCCAAGCCATATCCTGGGCAAATCCTCCTCCCTGCTCCGAACGGCATCATCTTTATCTCTTTGCTACCCGTTACATCAAACCCCGCCGCTCCTCCTCCCATGAACCTCTCAGGCTTAAACGCCATCGGATCTTCCCATACGTCTGCACCCCGACCCATCTCCGCTGCCATGAAATTTACAGACGCGTTCTTGGGTAGAACGTAGTTTAAGAATTCTATATCCTCTTTCACTCCTCGTGCTTGTAGGAAAAGCCCTGGTGGGTGTCTTCTTAATCCTTCTAAAACCACTGCTTTCAGATATGGAAGTTTCCCCAAATCCTCTTCCTGAACCTCCTCCCCTGTTCCATCTCCCATTACTCCCTTGATCTCTTCGAAGAGCTTATGTTGGATTTCTGGGTGTTTCACTAAATTCGCCATTATCCACTGCATGGTCGTGGAGGTGGTATCGGTGCCGCCGGTGAGGAATTCCGAGCATAGACCGACCATTTCGCCGTCTGTTACCTTTCTATTGCCCTCTTCGGGGAGGTGTAATTCGAGGAGTGTGTCCACATACGACAACACGAAATCTTCATCTTCTTCTTCTTCTTCTTCTTCTTTACCTTCTCTGTTTTCTTCTCTGTTTCCTCTGTTTTGCTTGTCCTTCCTCCTTGCTTCGATTAGAGGGATTATGACTCTCTCTTGGTTCCTTCTTAGTTGGAGAAACTCCTCCCAGCGTTTTGGAAGGAAAATCTTTGTCAATTTAGGCGATAAATTAAGGAGACCAAAACGCCTAAGATTTAGCAGCATCGTACGCTGCACATTCTCGACTTCTTTGATTTTGGGTTCGTCGAGTTTATCCCCAAAGCACATTAGCACCAACAAACAGAACATGGCATACTGAAAATGATGCACAACACAGACGGGAGTTCCCGATTCAGAGTGCGGGAGAAGGCGTTTAAGAAGAATATCCAAAACCCATTTGCGAGCAGGAGCGTAGGATCTGACACGGGAAGGATGGAGGATTTGGGAAGTGAGATTGCGGCGGAAGAGGCGCCAGAGTGGGCCGTAAGGGGCGGAGTTGATGCTGTGCTGGTTGCTGGAGAGGATTTTGACCAAAGGAGGAACTGGAGGGCGGTCGGCGAAGAGAGCGCCGTGTTGGAGGAGAGCGTTGTGGGCAATGGTGCGGTCGGCTATGAAGATGGAGATGCGAGAGCCAATGCGGAGGGTGACGATGGGGCCGTATTTGGCGACGGCGGTGCGGAGGTAAGATTCCATTTGGAGAGGCGATGTGCGGAGCCATAGGAAAGTGGAGATGATGGGGATTGAAGGAGGGCCTGGTGGAAGCTTGGTGGAGCTCCGGAAATGGCTAAAAATGGAGCTTAGAACATAGCAGATGCAGAGGGAGATGAGGATGATGAACCACATCGCCATTTTTGTGTACTAGAGATTGATCGTTGAATCCAGCTTTGAAAGCTTATCCATTCATTATATTCCCTTTATATCAATAAAAGAATTGAAGAAATTTTATTATTAAAATGAGAAGAAATATTATTATTAATATTTTGTTTAAAAAATATTTTTGAATTTCTAAAAAAAAAAAATTTAGTACTCTATTAACTTTGTAAAGTGTTCAAAAATTGCAAAGGTAAGCATGTTCTATGGTCTCCTAAATTGCAGTGACACCATTAGTCATTACAGGTGAGTCTTGCTTTAACCTGAAAAGTAAGAGTAGCACGTGGTTTGAATATTTTAAGAAATACTTGGTAAGCGACTCTTCTATCGAGGTTAAATTCAAGCACATGCAAATCGTGAGTGGGACGTATCATATCAGTCTATTTTTCTACGACAACTATCCTAAACGGGCAATTGGATGTGTACTTATACATGGTCCACACGTGCAAGTATGGACCCACCAGTCGGTTCACACACCTCTTGGGTCCCTTTCTAGTTGGGTGAGCATTCTATAGTAGCTGTTGATGCCGGACACCCGCTAGAAATAGCGACCGTCATGACAGCATTATGGTAAACATAATGATCGTTTCTTTGCATCTTAGCGTACGTGTCCATACTATCGTAAAAGGAGAAGTGGGTATCCTCTGATGCATGAACACACAATAATGCCTGAGGTTCCAACATTTTTCCTTTTTCATTACCATGTATTACAACCCCGCTAGCGTCTTTCTTCATATCATAATATTTTTATCATACCTTTCCATGCGAATACCAAGGTTGTACATTATGACAATTTTTCATTTGCATGTCAATCATATCACATATCATTCATGTTGCACATATATCGTATCATAACATTTTGATGCTGTCGAACGTAACAATTCACATCGTGCACATATCATACCATATCATAAATCATAACAGTCACATAACATAACCCGAGCATGCCTTCAACATATCAAATTATAAACATATTAATTCATCTCATACAACATAATATTCACGTATCATATCACATACATATCGTTGTTAGGATCGCACAACAACGCATACACTCGATCTAGATAAATACAAAGAACGAGAAAATGCAAGGAGAATATTAGCTAAAGGATATGTATTAATGACTACATATATGTACAGTAAGAGGCAATACAGAGAATATAGAAAATACATTTTCAAAGCTTTGAATAAATATATATATGATTCAGCTTACTATATATAGTTTTACTAGATATAATCATTAACTATATATAACTATTTACCATATATAGCTTTACCTGATATAACTTTTTAACATTTATGACTATTTACTTTATATTATTTATCATATATATATATATATAGCCGTTGACTAAACTATAAATAACTAGCAGCCATAACCTAACAATTCTCCTACTCGGAGACTAATCTAGTCAACCAAGAATTTCATTCTCAAACGAGCATTTTCATGGCACCATACCAATTGAGGCTTTGCACAACCTCAATATTCCAACATCAACACATTTTGTCAACATATTTGCAGAATTTTTTGCACTCTCTATCTTCTCCAAACACATCATCATCTTCCACTAACCTACGAGTGAAATGGTATCGACTTCTATGTTTTGTCTTTAAATGATAGTCTGGATTCCTCACCAACTGTCTGACACTCTGACTATCTCTATAAAGAATTTTTTCATGTTGCTTCTTGCCAAATTCTTCAAGATAGTCAGTCATCCATATCGTCTCCTTTTCAACTTCAGCTATTGCCACGTACTCAGCTTCAGTACAACGCATTTTTGAAGCCTAGACATCCCATCATCCATGGCTTGCTCCCACTTGGTTGTATCCTTCAACTGTAGGACCTCATCAAAGGGCTCTGGTGCCCTTTTATCAGCAACAGATAGTGTAATGAAGGTACATACATATCTGGTACTTTGATAGTACTGGTTGATCTTCTCAGCATCGATTCAGGTGTCACTTGCTCTACCGTTGGTTCCTCTGCAACAGTTTCAGGAGTTTCTTGAGTATCTGCTACAACATCACTAGGTGATTTTTTTTCGCAATTCAACCTCAACTTCCACTTGCTTCGTTATCTTGGAAACTTGCTCCACATCTGGTTTCTCAGCAGTAGTCTCAGGAGTTTTATGAGTATCTGCTACAATATCACTAGGTGAGTTTCCCCGCAACTCAAACTCAACTCCCACTTGCTTCGTGGTTTTGGAACCTTGCTCCACATCTGTATGGACAATTTCCAACCGCACTTTCTTCAATTCTCTGGTAGTCCTTGTGAAGCTAACTCGTTTCTGCTTGCTCATAACGTAGTTCTCACAACGACCCACATTAAGAGATTTTAGACCTTCTAAAACTCATTTCGCAGCCAGCATCTTCATTCTTTTCACACTCATATGTCCAAGTCTATTGTACCATAGACTTGAATTTGAAGCACTTTCAACAATAGCAGCCATGTTCATACACCCTGCAGTGGTGTATAAAGTTCCAGATTTTATGCCACGTGCTACCACCATAGCACCCTTCGTAATCTTCCACAAACTTTTCCCTAACTCTGTTGCATACCTGTGCTATCCAACTGACCAATAGAGAACAAGTTCTTCTTGAAACTAGGAATATATCTGACATTCTTTAATGTCCACTGATTTCCTACTGGAGTTTTTATGCAGACATCCTCTTTTCCTTTAATCTCCAAATCTTTGTTATCGACAAGATACACCTTCTCAAAATTTCCAGACTTGAAATTTTGGAACAACTCTTTATTTGGAGACGAATGAAAAGATGCACTTGAATCCAAAATCCAAGATTCAATCGAACTGTCCACGCTGAGGATTAGAGCATCCCCAATGTCTTCTGCTGAATTTATAGAATCATCGTCATCTCCAAATTTGTGATTTTGCTTGCTCTTTGGTCTTGTACAATCTGTCCTAAAGTGACCTTTTTCTCCACAATTCCAACACGTTATGTTTGATCTATTTGAAGATTTTTCTCGGTTCTTTGATTTTCATCACCTTTTGTTTGGGCCCTTCGGTTTACTTCTTCCCCGTTGGTCAACACTGAGAGCACTACCAGATGAATTTCCAATTTCTCGTTTGCGAATACTTTCGCTGAGAACTACATCTTGAATTTCATCAAACTTTAGTTTATCAGATCCTCGAGAACTGTTGATTGCAGCAACAACAGTATCTCACGGCTCGGGAAAAGATGACATCAAAATCAATGCTTTAATTTCATCCTCAAAATTAATTTCTACCGAATTTAGTTGACTTACGATCATATTAAATTCATTTATATGATCAACAACACATCCACCTTCAGACATCTGTAGATTGAACAATCTTCGCATCAAATACACCTTGTTTATAGCTGACAGTTTTTCGTACATATTCGACAGTGCCTTCAACAGATCTAACGTTGTCTTCTCCTTGATGATGTTGAACGTCACGTTTTGGGATAGCGTCAACCGGATCAGCCCTAAGGCTTGTCGATCATTGAGTTTCCACTACTCCGTAGTCATGGTATTCGACACACCCCCAACAAGGGTTCGTGAAGACCTTTCTGATACAAATAATCTTCAATCTGCATTTTTCAGAAATCGAAATCGAATCCATCGAACTTCTCAATTCCAATCTTTAAGTTTTTCATCTTCACAGATCGTGGTGAATTTCGCCTTGCTCCGATATCATTTGTTAGGATCGCACAACAACACATACACTCGATCTAAATGAACACAAAGAACAGGATAGAGGAAATGCAAGGAGAATATTGGCTAAAGGATTTGTGTTGATGACTATAGATATGTATAGTAAAAGAGAATACAGAAAATACATTTTCAAAGCTCTACCTTATGATATATATATATGGTTCAACTTATTATATATAGTTTTACCATATATAACTATCTACTATATATATAACTATTTATCATATATAGCTTTTTAGTTTATATCTCAAACTATTTACCATATATAGTTTTTTACTTTATATGTCATTTACTAGGTTTACTACGTATAACCGTTTAAGCTATAAATAACCTACTATATATAACTATCTAATATATAGCTTTTTACTTTATATGTCATTTACCATATCTACCATATATAGCTTTTACTTTATATGTCATTTATTTATTACGTCTAACGGTTCACTAGGCTATAAATAACTTACTATATATAACTATCTATCATATATATAGCTTTTTACTTTATATCATTTACGTTCACTAAGCTATAAATAACCTACTATATATAACTCTCTACCATATATAGCTCCTAATATATATAACTATCTACCATATATAACTTTTTACTTTATATCATTTAGCATATATAGGTTTATTACTTATAACCGTTCCTATAAATAACCAGCACGCTCCATAACCTAATAATCATTTCATAATAGTTTGCATATACGGGCTCCATAACCTAATAATCATTTCATAATAGTTTGCATATACGGTGTCGACACGTGCAAAGCCATAGGCACATGTCATCATACAACACACAATTATTATCAAACCGACGGTAGAGCCACTTACTTGGTTGGCATTTGCCAGCCTTTTCCCTAAGTTCGAGTACGGTCGCATCCCGTTACTCAAAATTGCTATAAATATCGTCAGTTGTCGTTTCCTATTAGAAAGTCTATCCCGTTTCCTTAGTAACTCAAATTCTTTAACTCCATTTAACTTCGGTCGAGAAATTTGACCTTATACTGACATTAATTGCCTTAAACAAGGTCAACTTTAGTTTCGGGATGGTCAATACGGTGGAAAATGGTTTATTTTTCCTTTACCAAGCCGAGGGACTGAGTTTTGCACGGCGGAATCAAGCCGAGCCGAGCTACGGACTTCATCTTCCTCACCCTTCTTCTCACGATTTTTCCTTTCATTTTTCTCTCTCCTCTCGACGATGTTTGTTTCTGCTCTTCATTGTGTCTCTGTATAGATCTGTATTCGTTCTCTTCCCTATGACTTGTTCTCTTGTTTCCATGGCGTTTGACGTGTTCGAAGACC